GCCACAACGGTTCCAGTTTCTCAGGTAGCCCCCTTGGGAAAATGAATGTTCCAAGCAAGGCGGAGCACTGCACAGGCTCAGAAAAGCGCTTTCTCTCCTTGCCTTCCTGCAGCCACCAACCGACTGAAGGAGCCCACTTGGCTTCCTCTCCTTCCCCCTGTGGTGGTCTTATTTACACTTGATTTTTAATTTTCAGTTGACCTTATGCAGTCCTGACAGGGACAGACAAAGGGCCAGATGTGGTTCGGAGCCGTAAAATGCCCAGGTCTGGATCTAATCCTAAGCAAACATAGATGGGCCTTTTCCACAACCTGCTTTGATGTCCTTCTCTTAGCTCAGTTACCAGGAAGATTTCATGGGACCTTATTCGCGGAGATTTTTCCCCTGTGGATCCAGAGAGTAGAAACTCTCACTCATCTCCTCATAGGGTGTCCTTTCTATGATGCTCCAAGATGTGTTTTAATCACATCAATCATTTCCAAATAAGGCTACAGAGATAAATGTTATGTTTATTATATTTCAAAGGTAACCTCACACTCAAATATCAGATGGCCAAATATCTTCACGTTCTACAACTACCCAAAACTTTTAATTAAATATATTGTTTTATTGCCCCGTTCTTTCCTATTCTAAATAACAAATGTTGCGTTAAACTATTTCTCTCTTTACTGTACTGTAAAAGTACTGTACTATACTTTTATTGTGAAGGCTGATCAAAGATTGTAATAAAGATATTTTAGTTGAAAAAAATATGTTTTACTGTGCTCTACTTTCTGCTGCTTTTTGAGATGTGTGAGAGAGAGATGCAAAATGCAATTCTCTCTCATGTTCAAATATTGCAGAAATATACTTATGATAGGTAGTAGCATTAGCATTTGCTAGGTCTTCCTTAGGAACAAGTTGCTCTGGATGTAGGATGTTTCTTTAAGGTTTCTTTATGAAAAACTCAGAGAGGAGGCAGTGAAGCTCTTCCCCTAAGTACAATCTGTTTTCAACTTCTGGGTGAGCTTCCTTTCAAGGTCACTATCTGTGCTTAGCAGTGAGGGGCAGCTCTCCTTTGAGGTATCCATCCCACACCCCATACTATTAATCTTGTACTGACTCAAATGACCTTACTTGGTAAAGACCCGCATTTTGAATTAGTCAGCACAATGATCTGAAGCATCCATAGCCAAACTCAAACAGGCTTTGGAGGACATGATAAGGGCTGGAGCAGAACAACAGGAATCTTGATTGCTTGAACCTTGTTCATAGCCAGCCCTGTAGTGTACTTGTTTGCATACTCATAATACTGCATTCGTATTGGACAGATACTATCGCTTAACGATTGGTAGATAACAACAGTTCTAATTGGACGCCTAAGCAGTGGGAGTTTTAAATAAATGCCATTGGTTGCGAGCCGCGAGCAGCCGCTATAAGAGGGACTGCCACGGCTCGACTTTAGTTGAAGTTACTGACAGTTAATAAAGAGCTGAATTCAACTCCGGTCTCGAGTCTGCTTTGTTCTGGCGATAGAACAAGAACAAGAACTGAAAGAGAACAAACTGTTCTTTTCCATCGATAGGCACCATGGCTCCTCAACTACTCCTCTGTCTGATCCTCACTTTTCTGTGGAGTCTCCCAGAGGCTGAAAGTAATGGTAAGAAGCTCTTCATTGTCTTTCTTTCTGTCATTATTATTATTATTTGCCTCACGTTTAGACACTCTCCAAAGATTTTTGTCAATAATGAAAGGTTGATCATTCAATACATTGAATGTAACAGAACCTCATTGGGACTGGTAAGCAAACAGCTGGTTTCCTTTTAATGTCATTCTAAAGTCATTTCTCAAAAATGCATTTGATTTTTCTGTGTGCTAACCTGCAACTTGTAGGTAAGCATCTTGTTAGCATGAATATATGTCATGTTGATTTCTTTTTTTGAACTGTGAACTGCATTTGCATGATCTCCCAGTCTCTCCCTCCATCTCTGATGAGCCTCTTGAAAGCTTATGCCTTTTAATATAATGTGTTAGTCTGAAAAGGTACTACCAGACTTTTTGAGTTTTTGCAGTCATACACACGGCTCTCTCCCTGCAACTTTTCTCTTTCTGTAATTGATTTATTTTCTTCTGAAGAAGTACTAATCATTTTTTGTGCAGCCACAAATAAGAATCAGGTTAGAGGAAGTCTTTGTGCTGAAATGCTCATATATTTGCTGCCTTATGTACACGAGTTGTGTAATTTCATTTCCTATTAAAGCATGAAAACAGAAAACATTGTAATCTATTCTATTTCTGAGACTGCAGAAATATCTCCGGTTTGAGGTGTGGGGAGGCAGGAGATGAATAGAGAAGGCTGAGCTTAGGTGCCTTCATATTGCAATATTGTCCACTCAGAAGGGTTAAGAAATCACATGCACCCACAATCACTGTTTATGAGGGTTCTCACCATCCAGAAATGGGTCTCACCATTTTGGGGGAACTCAGGTAACTTTAAAAAAAAAAAAGAATTGAAAGAGTTCCGGTTTGCAAGGCTTCGGCAGCGGCAGGAATCCGCGATTGTGCACAGTTCCTGCTGCGCTCGCTGCTGGAGTGCCTCCGATCCAGCTGGATTTGGAGGCTATAGTTACCCTGTAGAGGTAACTGAAGAGAGGGGAGATCCGGGCAGGGGTCTGGGAGAATCGCAACCCCCCACCTCAGCCGGCTTAACTCCCTTTTCCAAAGGCAGTGGGGCGGCGGTCAGCAATGGCCGCCACAAAGAAGCTTTCAGCCAGACAAGAATGTGCAGGAGGAAGCTGAGAAAGTGAAAGTTTTTGGCTGAACCGGGACAACAAGTAATATCTAAATACCCTGGAAATTCAACTTTCTTAAAGATACATTGTTCCCTAAGAAGATCGTAAAAAGTGGCGGATGAAAGTGAAAAGGGAAAGTTTATTTTTTCTCACTCTCCTTCCCTACGGAGATAGCAGATGGAAATCAGAAAAACCCGTTTTGGCAACAGAAGGTAACTAAATTTGAAAATTAAAGCCAAGGGGACATCAAAGATTTCTGAACATTGGAATTAAAAAATTAAAATCTTTTTGCTATAAGTGGGAAGGGAGAGGTAAAGAATTTATATTAAGACTTTGCTGGAGGAGACTGCTTGGAGCTTATAAGATCAGAGATAAACTGTAATAAGACTTCTAAAAAATACATTTTGGAACTTTGCAATTGAATTCTATCCCAGGAAGAGAAAGTATAAAAAGAAGAAAGTGCTAAATGAAACAGTTTGTGTTGATTTGGATTGCTTGGTGACTTTGGGACTTTTGAAAACTATTTTTTGAAAGAGTAAAAACATTTGGGTTGTTTAAAAAAAATCTCACAATGGCATTATCTGTTGAAGAATTGAAAATGGAATTCAAAAAGCTAAAAGAAGAGGAGCAAGAAGGGAAGGGCTCTTCTGGATCTGTTTTTCACTTCTTAGAAATGGCGATTTCTACCTACCAGAATTACAACAAGAAGGCTGGGATGAAGAAGAAGAAGCCATCTTTAATGAACAAACAATTTTAGTTGAGGAAGAAAAGGGAAGGAGGGGAAAGAGAATGGAGAATTTAAAATTTAAAAAAACAACCAAGAAAGGGAAAAATAAGGTGAAAAATCGATAAAACGTCAGAAAACAACAGAAAAGAGGAATACAACATAGAGGGGAGACTAAGAGGGGGGAGATTAAGAGATAGGGGGGTAAAAAGGCTAGCTCTGACAAGAAATGAAGAGAAAAAGGGAAGAGAAGTTATAAAGGCTTGAAACAAGATGTTAAAAAACAGTTTTTTTCAGAGACAAAGGGTAAAATACCATTAAAAAAGAGATTCTGCAAAAGTACATAAGACTGTATTGCAGTATTTGTATTTGAAATAGAGTTAGAAAATTGGAATATTATATGAGTTAATAAAATATTAAAGGGAATGTGTAAAATATCTAAGATTTAATGATAGAGTTTAATTTGCTATGGAACGTTGTTTTAACTATATTATAAACTTATTATTTTCTTATTTTAAAATGTAGTACGTAGAATGTACTAAGCAGAATCAGAATGGAAATTATATATTATTTTAAGTGTTAAATTTAGGGGAAAGTTAAAAAGGTGTCACACTTCAAACCGTGATTACAGGAGAAATTTTGTATTAAAGAGAAAAGATAAATAGATAATTGAAAAAGAATGGACAAAAGATACAAGTATAATGATTTAAATCGAGATGAAATAAATAAAATAAAATTAAGAGGGTGAAAAGAGGGGAGAAGACATATAGAAAATATAGAATGCTAAATAAGATATGAAATGGTATATAAGGTGAGCATGAATTTGATTTATGTCTGTACAAAAAGATGTAACCCAGGACTAAGCCTCTTTCCAAAAAGAAGTTTTATGTTTTCATGTTTTGTGTTTGTTTGTCTATGTTTGTATATTGAAAATTAATAAAATTTTTGAAAAAAAAAGAATTAAAAAGTGCACAATGACAAATGAAGATACTTTTGAAAAGTGGAGGAAAATGCAAGAATGGCCTCTGTGAAATATGAAAGAAGAAAAGTATCCCAAGGGCAGTGGAGAGAAAAAGATTTCCTTAAATTTCACAAGTTAGGGAAGACAGAGGACCACTGATGGGGAAAACGTTTGACCTATTTGTAATGTACTTTTAGACACTCTCCAAAGATTTTTGTCAATAATGAAAGGTTGATCATTCAATACACTGAATGTAACAGAACCTCATTGGGACTGGTAAGCAAACAGCTGGTTTCCTTTTAATGTCATTCTAAAGTCATTTCTCAAAAATGCATTTGATTTTTCTGTGTGCTAACCTACAACTTGTAGGTAAGCATCTTGTTGGCATGAATATATGTCATATTGATTTCTTTTTTTTTTCCAAAATTTTTATTGATTTTTAAAAGACAAACATAAACAAACAAAACACAAAACATGAAAACATGAAACATCTTTTTTGAAAGCAGTTTGATCCTGGTTACATCTCTTCGTACAGACATAAATTCAAATTCATGCTCACTTTTATATACCATTCCATATCTTATTAACATTCTATATTTTCTATATAGCTTCTCCCCTCTTTTAATTCTCTTAATTCTATTTTATTATTTCATCTCAATTTAAATCATTATACTTATATCCTTTGTCTGTCCTGTTTCAGCTGTCTATTATCTTTTCTCATTAACACAAAATTTCTCCTGTAATCGCTGATTGGAATATGACACCTTTATATCCTTCCCCTAAATTTATAACACTTAATATAATACATAACTTTTATTCGGATTCTGCTTGGTACATTCTAAAGCTACACACTATATTTTAAGAAAAGAAAAAATTATAAATATATAATATAATTAAAACAACAATCCATACCAATTAAACTCTATCGTTAAAATTAATATTCATTTAAATCTTAAACATTTTACACATTACTTTTCAAATAGGTATCATGCTTCTATGGGAACACTTATAAATTTTGCATAGTAACTTACCCCCCATTTCACTTTATATTTTAAAACTGTGTAATTAAAATGTTCCCATTCCTTCCTAATTCAATTCTCTCATTTATTTCATTTCATTTATTTTATTCAAAAAAGTTTCACTGAATCACACTGAATATTTTATCCCATTTTATTGTCATATGTTGTTCCAATTTTCTAACATTATTTCTAATACAAGTATAACAATACAATCTTATGTACCTTTGCAGAATCTCTTTTTCAGTTATATTTTACCCATTATCTCTAAATAACTCCTGTTTCTTTACATCTTGTTCCAAACCTTTGTAGCTTCTCTTCCCTTCCTTCCTCCCTTGCTTCTTCGCTCTGCCCTTTTTACCCCCTTGTCTCTTCACCTCCATTTCCCCCTTCTGTGTTCCCTTTTTTCTGTTGCTTTCTGACATTATATCCACTTTTCACCTTATTTTTCCCTTTTTTGGTTGTTTTTTTAGGTCTTAAATTCTCCATTCTCTTTCCCCCCGTTTCCCCTTTCTTCCCCAGATAAAGTTACTTGTTCATTAAAGATGGCTTCTTCTTTGTCCCAATCTTCTTGTTGCGCAGTTTCTTGTAGTTTCTCATAGGTACAGATCACCATTTCTAACAAATGAAAAACGGAACCAAAAGAGCCCTTCCCTTCTTGTTCCTCTTCTTTATATTTTTTAAATTCCATTTTCAGTTCATCCACAAGTGATGCCATTGTAAAAAAAAATTTAAACAACCACCCGAGTGTTTTTAATCATTCAAATATAATTTCCAACAGTCCCAGAGTCACCAAGTAATCCAAATACACACAAGCTGTTCACTTTCCATTTTTTTCACTTTCTCTTCCTGGGGTTGCAATTTGGTTACAAAGTTCCAGTTAGAATGTATCTTTTAGAAGTCTTGTTACGATTTAACTTTTGATTCTTTCAAATTCCAAACAGCCTCCTCCAGCCAAATCTTGCTCTTTTCCTCTCCTTTCCCACTTACAGCAAAAAAAAGTTTTTTAGGTGTTCAGTAATCTTTATTGTCCCCTTGGCATTTAAATTTCCAGTTTAACTACCTGCTGCTGCCAAAGCGGGTTTTTCCGATTTCACATTCATCTGCTGTCAACGTAAGGAAGAAGAGTGAGAAAAAAAAACTTTCCCTTTTCACTTTCATTCGCTG